TAAAAAAAAAAAAAAAAAAAAAAACATACACATTTATATATTATTAATAATAAATAGAGCAGTCTAGAAATTTTGTTTAAAAAACTAAAGTTAATTAATTCAAGTCTATTCAAATATTCAAATAATGTGAGTAATAAATATACCTGTAAAGAAACTTTTTTTTTCAAAACTAACAAAAATTGGTCCATTTATATAAATTTATGCATGTATGTATATATTAAAAGAAAAAAAATAATTACAATCCAATTTTTTTTTTTTTTTGGTTTTATCATAAAATAGTTCAAATGAAAATAACATCACCACCGAGTGAATTGTATATATTAATAATATAATATCATAATTTTTAAATCATCCATAATTTAATGAGTTTTTTTTTTAAATTTTATTATAATCTTCTCTATGTTACTTTATTTTTATTTATTTTTTTAATTTTTGTTAAACATATTTTTAAAAATTTGTCATGTGGGTAATTATAATAATATATATATATATATATATATATATATATATATATAATATATATATAAAAAAAAAAAAAAAAAAAAAAAAAAAAACAAAACGAAAAAGTAAAAAGAAACCAAGTAATTTTTTTTTAATTTGTATGTACATCGTAGAATATAATTTTGTGTCTTCTCAATAAAAAAAATATCATGTACACGCGATTGTCGTGCGTAGGCGGCGGCAACAGTTGTTTTTTCAACGAGATGACGATTTGGATACGAGACCGAGTCATCATCATTAGTACGGCCTGGGCGCCTCTTTGGGTCTCTTGAGCTGTACTTTCAGCCTCTTATTACCCACCTGGTATGAGTTCATCGACTGTATGGCCGCTTGTGCACTGAATGCATTGTCGTACGAGACGAATCCTGTGAAACAACAGAAAAACCCCATAAATAACATATTATAATAATTATAATATTAATATTTTATCATAATATTATCGCGTTTTCTTGATTTACATTTTATTCCTCGTACACTAGACTAGTTATTATCAAAATTACCACGAGGTGTAATAAAGTAATAAGACCGATTTCGTTGCATGCAATCTGAAAACACTAGTGACTTTCCGTTTTTTGGCATAATAAACAAACATCTAATGAATCTTTGGTACCAGTTTGAAGTGGTGTGGCATGTAAGTCTGTAGCAATTGTTTTCGTAAACAGGTTATTTCTAGTACATAGTGTAACAATTGATATCCGATTGCTTCAGACTTGGACACATTATGACGGATACTTTTCAATAACTTCAACAGGCGTATGGAGACAATGTTTTTTAAAGGGCTCAGATTTTTGGTGGTTTTAAGCAAATTTCAGAAGTAGCTTTAAAATGAACTTTGAAGTAAAAAGCTTTCTCAACTGCAAAAATAATGAAAATATCGACAGAATCTGAGATTATGAAAATGTCTTTAACCCACTAAAACTCGGTGCCCTTAAAAAATCAGTTTCTTGACTTCTGAATTTCATGAAAGGTTTTTATCGTGATATGCCCCAAGACAGAAGCAAAATCGAATAGCACCGTGCCACAGTTGATCGAAAATGTTGTTATTCATTTTCAGTATATACAAACAATACGGGTTCACAAAAACAATATCTAAGGACAAAAACGCGATTCTATGGAGTTTAAACAAGTAATAAAGATGTATTAGATGTTAGCCTCCCCTCCAAACGATAACCCATGAATGATGTCAGGATTATATGCTGTACAGTGACAGTCTCATTATACTTTATTTACATATCTCATTTACTGAACTTTTAACAACAAAATTTCATCATAGATTAACTGCAATAGCTAGCCTTATGCTTAGCTATTACCAACTAACTTGGTATTTCAATTGCTCAATTTCGAGTTTTAGATGTAATATTATAGACGAAAGCATTTCCGCCAATTTCGAAACAACACGCTACGCGAGAAGTGGGGAAAAAGCAACATTAATAGGCTCTTATACTTTTTACGAAAACTTAAAGTTTATAAAACAAACAAATGATGGGCTGCATGAACGTTAACTAAACGTTTAATGAACCATTAGAGGTCTATAATGAATCATTAAAATGTCTAATGTTTTATTAAATTTAGTAATTCCCTGAACTGGTGTGAAGACTTCGGCTGTTTAAAAGTTTGAACACTGGTTTATCCAAAATTGTATCTATCCAAAGATGATATAATTTCCCTATTAAGTTTTATATGTATGGTATGTATTTATTATACAGTTTTTAGATTGTATTAACTTTAAATTGTTAAAAGAAACTACGATTATCTATTGTTATCACTTATTTCGGTTAACCAACAAATTTACCGAGTATCCAGAGCTTTAAACCATTATAATAAAGAAACATTTATGCAATTGAAATAACTCATAACAATTTTTAGTCCAATCAATCCTATAGTTAAATATTTATTAAATTTAATTAAATGTTTAATGCAACTCAGCACAAGTTATCACACCAGTATATTTATACCACTATTATAGGTATTATCGTATCATTTTTCTAAGGATATGATGTAACCAAACATTAATTACATTTTTACTTATAAACGTGCTGAATTTGGTTCAATATCCCAAATATGTTACAGCCTTAATTAGGGTCACAAGTACACTATCACACGTCGGACTCGACGGGACGTGAATGTGTCCACACTCACTGATTTTAACAAGATACTATTTATTTTCGATCGCATCGGTATTGCGTCGACAATAGCATCAATTAAAAATTAATGATAATTAAGGAAAACCGCTAAAAGCACACCCAATCAGTAACCAAAAAAATTTGCGATATTATCTGGTCTACAGAAGCATGCGTTTTTATTGAATACCGCTTGTCCAAAATATTATAATGTAAACATTATAAAATGCGTCGTTTATTTTATTTTATTTTTTCAGGCATAACTATTAGTACTGTTAAGATTATATTATTATTATTATTATTCTATAAACTTAACTACATCAGGCAGAAGCGGGACAATACAATATCATTACAATACATTACACGTGGCAAATATGTATACACATTACTTGAGGAATGGGCAATATGATCAGACCAGTGCAGTGCATTTTAAAATTAATATTTTCGAACAATCGCGCAGTATTAATATATATATATATAACAATAATGTCATGTTATTTGAATTTATCGATCACGCCACGAGCCTGAAATAAAAATAACCCTAAAAAGACTATTTGTACAGTCTATATAGTTTTAAAAGAAATGTATCTGAATTATAAACTGCAGCGGTATATAGAAAACAATACCGTAATATCAGTTTTGCGATAGAAATAGGAACGAAAAACATTTAATGCATTTCTGAGAAGGAAAAACTTAATAGGACGTGATACTCGCATGGGCTATATGTCTTACAAACGCATGGCATGGTGAATTTGAGTACTGAATGGACAATTCTTACTGTTTTAATGTTATGTACAAAGTTATAAAAATGTTCTTATACCTTTAAGTTTAATAATCGATAAATAAACAATATTAAAATAAACAGTACAAAATTGTCCCTGTTGAATGCAAATTTTACACGTCCAAACTTTTGTACGACGGAGACAGCACACGTGTGTATCACGTCCTCTTAACGTTGTGTTTTAACAGATTTTTTTCTGCGCGTATTATTCGCGTCTGCGCGACTTACCGAAACACTTGGACAGTTTGGTCTCTTTATCAATGTAAACCTTTGTCGATATAACGTTACCGAATGTTGAGAACATGGCCGTGAGATCAGAATCTGCGAAATCCTGGGGGAGATGGTATATAAACAGATTGGCACCCTCTGGACCTTCTATCTGCTTGCCGGTCACTTTAGTCGCTAAACAAAATAATTACGCAAACAACATGTACATAAAAAAAAAAACGAAAAAAAAACGATACAACAAACACAACAATATTAATAATAGCAGTAAATCATATATAATAATAATATAATATAATTAGTAAGGCTCAGAACTTATTGCACAAATAGTTCATAAAAAAAAGCACATAAAAACGTCAAAAAGCCTTTAAAAAAAGCACTTCAAGCAAATATTATAAGACCAACTGGTAGAAAGGTCCCCCCTTATCTAACGACTCTTAACGATTTTCTAACATGATGCAAATGAATAACAAAAAGCTATTTTGTTTAAATAAAATTGTATATATGATAAAAAAATAACTTTAGGTTAATAATTTGTGTAGCGTTAGAAAATTGTATTTAATAAGCTAAAGCCGGGTACATTTAAATCCTTCTAACGTTTTTCCTTTTTTAATAATTTTCAAGTGCTGTTTTGACGTTATTAAACGGGTTTTTTTTTGTAGATTTTAAGTGCAATAAGTTTCGAGTCCTATTAATAAGGAATAGACGTGCGTAAACTAAATTTTTAAAATAAAGCACTATTCGGTCAGTCGTTTTTTTTTCAAATAGAAGCCGGTCAACTCAAGACGATCACATTAACATTACAATATAATGTTCGTTATATTATGAAAAAATATAAATAAAGCAAAGCAAAAAAAAAGGTCTATCAGCCAACTATAAAATGAAATTTTGCGTTTGTATATTTCATTATTATAATATAAAATCAAAATCTGCTATGGCGCTAAGAATTGTTTTAATACACATGCATAATAATAATTTTTATTTTTTTATTTTTAAATGCATATGTCGAACCGATTCATAGAAGTCATCGGTTTGAAAAAAAAAAACCCCGTGCAATACTAGATAACTTACACATTATACTTCAACGCGAATTACGTCACATTTACACTTCTTGTGTTATCATGCTACTCACTATCGCTATTAATCGGTTATGTACATGATAATACATTTTGTTCTGTACACGCATCTAAAAAAAAAAACCTTCTCCACATATTGCGTTTTTCGTTTAAATAATTATTATATTTATTATTGTATTGTTGTTATTTTATTAAATCACCCATTTAATATGGTCCACTCTGCTGACCGCATTTAAGCTAACCGGAACGGCCGAGAAAAAAGAACAGATTTTGGCGACAATTTAGAAAGAGCTATACAAAAACAGAAAGTAAGAATCCGGACTGTACTTTTCACGAAAAATATCAATGGTTTTTAGAAAAACGTTGTTATTATAACGACTTTTAAACTATTATAACGGAAAAAGGGAAAGGGCTATGAAAAATTCGGGAAAGTAGGAAAAATAATAAAGGAAAATAAACGCTTTTAATCAGGAAGTCGAACAAAGAAATCAGCGGAATAAAAACTGCTACCGATGACATATTATATTGAAAATAATCGAAGTTGCCATTTTGGAAATATTAGTTTTTACTTTTTTACGGATATTTGACATTATTCCAGATTGTTGCGGTTCATGATTTTATATTCTGGATTTATACACTCCTGAAATTTACAGTCCGGAATATTACATTTAAGACTTAGTATATTCCGGATTATTTCGGTTCAGAAATGTATCATTCAAGATAATTACATCCGAACAAATTAAGGCATAACTTATTTACTG